TTTTTTTACCCCAGGTAATCATGGCACTACTTGAAATTATAAAATATATCCAAATAAAAAAGAAAATACCACTCTATAATCTCACTGAGTTATAATCTTCTAATATTACTTTAGTTTTTTATGCGTATTTGTTTAAAAAATAAAATTGTGATCACTTTGTACTTATTTGAAACCTACATTTTGTTGTTGTTGCTTTAAGAGAGAGAGAGCATGCGCACATGTGTGAGCAGGGGAGGGGCAGAGAGAGGGGAAGAGAGAGTATTCCAAGCAGGTTTCATGCTGTTAGTGAAGAACCTGACACAGGGCTTGAACTTACAAACTGTTAAATCATGACCTGATCTGAGATCAAGAGTCGGATGCTTAACTAAGTCACCTGGGCGCCCCTCTCATGCTGTATTTGTAATCCACTATTAAATACTACAATTTAACTCATCTATTATTGTTAGACATCTAGGTTATTTATAATCTGTGTTATAAATAACACTGTAGTGAACAAATTTGTACAAGAATAAATGATTAGTTCTTAAGAATAAATTTCATAACTAGAGTTACTCCCACTAACAATTTTTGAGTGCTGGTTTCCAGACACCCTGGGGGTTATAAAACAGGTTTTATAGTTTTTATTTATATTTCTTTTCTGTATTTGTTTTTATTTTATTTTTTTTTAACTTTTTTTTTTTTTGGGGGGGGGGCCGGGAGAGACAGAGCATGAACGGGCGAGGGGTAGAGAGAGAGGGAGACACAGAATCGGAAACAGGCTCCAGGCTCTGAGCCGTCAGCCCAGAGCCCGACGTGGGGCTCGAACTCACGGACCGCGAGATCGTGTCCTGGCTGAAGTCGGACGCGTAACCGACTGCGCCACCCAGGCGCCCCAGTTTTATTTTTATTTTAGAGCTAGAGGGAGAGCGAGGGAGAGGGGTAGAGGGAGAGAATCCTAGGCAGACTCCACGCTCAATGCAGAGTCAGATGTGGGGCTTGATCCCACAACTCTGGTATGACCTGAGTCAAAATCAAGAGCCAGACGCTCAACTGACTCAGCCACTCAGCTGCCCCATGAAACAGGTTTTATAATTTAAAGAAATCCTTGCTAATATGCCATGTGAAAAAAACCTTGAGGTTCTAGACTTTGTAATTTAGAGGAGCCCTTGTCAATCAGATATATACATATCTGATTATTACTGAATATTTTTCTATTTGGTTTTGGTCATTTGTACTTCTTTTTTTGGTTAAGTGTCTACTCCATTACTTTGTTCATTTCTCCACTTGCTCACCACTTTCCTTTTTGAGACACCTCAAAATGCCTCATTATTTTTGATGGGATAAATTTTATAAGGTGCCCTGCAGATTCAGGGAGATTCAAAGTTGTTTTTGGAGATCATAATCATCATAATTATGGTCCCAGACCAAACTTCAACTAATGTCCCCCCCCTTTTTTTTTTTTAGTTTTCCTCTGGACTATCCATGAACCATTTTATGATTTTGTTTTGCATTTTATTTATTTTTTAATTTTAACATTTATTCATTTTTGAGAGAGAGAGAGAGAGCGAGAGAGAGAGCAAGCGAGCATGAGTGGGAGAGGGTCAGAGAGGGAGACACAGAATCCAAGGCAGTCTCCAGGCTCTGAGCTGTCAGCACAGAGCCTGATGTGGGGCTCGAACTCACAGACCATGAAATCATGACCTAAGCTGAAGTTGGGGGCTTAACCAACTGAGCCACCCAGGCGTCCCTGTTTTGTTTTGCAATGTAAATCACAAACTTACCAATAAATCATTTGAGGACTCTTTTCTGGAGCACCATTCCCAGCAACATTTTAAAAATGAAGTATCTTGAATTAAAATACTAAGAACTTCATTAATTTTGCGCATTGAAACATTAATAAATCTTAAACATTGGTAGGCCAATACTAGATAAATTGGCAGGACATTAGCACATTGTGGGTATTCAATTTTAAATGTACAACTTATTATAGTGTATGTATCAAAATTATGGCAGCAAAAGATTTACGTTCAGGTATGTACCTACAATTTGATTCAGCACATTGTGTGTGTGGACTAGCTAGGTAAATAAATAGGCAAACACCTTGAAGTGGCTACCTTCACCAGAACTTAAAAAAATAAAAATAAAAATAATAATAATAATAAATAAATAAGTCTTCTGTGGCCTAACAAATGTGGTGCTCTTTAGAGCCTTTAGGATATTAAGCTAGAAGCACTGGAAACCCACAGAACCCCCTTGCTGGGCTCTGACTTACTGGCTCAGCAGGTTATTGTTCATTGTTGATCATTCAAAAGAACAAGTTGTAACTCACTGGCCACGTACGGAATAACAAAGCACATCTTCACATAACTTACTGTCCCTTTACCTTTCTCTGAGCCTGTGTCTATTCTTTTTTGGAATATATCTTTTAATTTCTCTTGTGTTTTGGGTTGTTTCATGCGTATAACTATTTTTAGAATTTGTTTTTTAGAAAAGACAAAAGTTTGTGTTACTTTTTGATTCTGTAACAAACACTGTCCTTACTGACATTAAGGAAATCACTTCAAGGTCTTTTCTGGGACATCCTGTTTTTTCATTTAACTAACACTTTAATATTGAAATGTGTTGGTTGTGATGTTGAAATTAATCCAATGTACCAAAAGAGCAATAAATCTTAGAACCAGTTAAGTGAAAAACAGAGAGAAACTTGGGGTGCCTGGGTGGCTCAGTTGGTTAAATGTCTGACTTTGGCTCAGGTCATGATCTCATGGTTTGTGAGTTCAAGCCCCGCACAGGGCTAATTGCTTTCAGCACAGAGCCTGCTTCAGATCCTCTGTCCCCTCTCTCTCTGCACCTCCCCTGCTGGTTTTCTCTCTTTCTCTCTCAAAATAAACTTAAAAAAAAAAAAGAGGGACAGAATATTATATGCAGTATGACACCATAACATAAAAAATGTGTATTTATATACATAGAATATACACAGGAGGATACAAAGTACCAAAATGTTAGTATTAATATTGGTTTTCTACCAGGTGAGATGAATGGCTGGGTATCAGGGGTGCAGGGTTTCCTTTTCACTGTATACTTCTTGTACCTTAAAATTTTTATTCCATGTACAGGAATTAACAATTTAAAAATAGAATTTATTTTTTTTTGTTTTTTTTGTTTTTTTCAACGTTTATTTATTTTTGCGACAGAGAGAGACAGAGCATGAACGGGGGAGGGGCAGAGAGAGAGGGAGACACAGAATCGGAAACAGGCTCCGGGCTCTGAGCCATCAGCCCAGAGCTCGACGTGGGGCTCGAACTCACGGACCGCGAGATCGTGACCTGGCTGAAGTCGGACGCTTCACCGACTGCGCCACCCAGGCGCCCCAAAAATAGAATTTAATAAAAATTTTATTACACATAGTAGGCACTCAGTAAACACGGAGTGAAAGACTAAATGAATAAATGGATGAATTAAGTAAAATGAATCAGTGCCTTACACTTGCCCTTGCACTTAAAACTTGCACAAAAGCCTTGTGTAATCCATAATGTATAGCAGTGGCGTTATGTGCCAAAACCACAGCAAAGTCTTAAGGCTGTAAATGGTCAATATCTGTAAATCTTCAGAAATGGCAGAATTGTGATATCACCAAGAAAGGAGCTTTGGTTGGCAGAACAGCATTTTTGTAAGTGTGTTCTAGGCTAGTGCCTTAAAAATTCCTCAGTAAACAAAGCCAGATTATCCTCCACCGCCCAGGTCTGTGAACCACCACTCTGGCAGAAACACCTCTTGTGGTCTGGAAGAAAGTGTACTAACTCCATTATTAAAGAGTCAGGTCCCAAGCTTGTCTAATGGCAGTTTTATCAACCTTCATCTCACTGCTAAGCAGTGCAATTTCCCAATTGCATGAGACTGAATGGCTTTTTAAAACAGAAATCAAGACCGAATGGGGAGAAAAACTATTATCACTTTGTTAGATTTCTAAATGGAAACAACCCATTATATATTACAAAGAAGTTTCATAATGTAAATGGTCCCTGACTTGGGATGATTGGACTTAACAATTTTTTTTGCCTTACCCATGGTGTGAAAGTGATACATTCAGTAGAAACCGTACTTCCAAATTGTGATCTTTTTCCTGGCTAGTGATATGCATGCAGTATGATCCTCTCCCATGAAGCAGGGCAGGGGCAGTGAGCTGCAGCTCTGTCAGCCCTGTGATCGTGAGGGTAAACAACCCTGTGCTTACAGCCACTTTGTACCCACACATCCGTTCTGCTTCTCACTTTCAGTATTCAATAAATTACATGAGATATGCAACACTTTAGTATAAAATAGTCTTGTGTTAGATGATGTTGCCCAACTGTAGGCTAACATAAGTATTCTGAGTAGGTTTAAGGTAGGTTAGGCTAAGCTATGATGTTCAGTACGTTAGGTATATTAAAAAATGCATTTTCAACTTAGGATATTTTCAATTTACAATGGATTTATTAGGATATAACTCCATCATAATATCCAGGAAGATCTGTTATCTCCCTACATTTGCTGAGGAAGCTGGTCCTAGTATTTTTCTGAACAATAGTAAAAGGTAGGGCAGACAGACTTCAAATCAACATGTTTATTGTATCTCTCACTTCGGTGAAGGTGAGCAAGGATTTACACCAACTGCAAAATTACTTTAGGCTTTGTTTACTTCTTTATGTCCTAAGATAAGCAAAGCAGCAACCTGCTGTGTGTATTCAGGTCAAGCCTTAGGGACAAGCATGGATGGAAAAAGTGACAGTTTCCTGGAGTCAAAATAATAAAGGATGAGAGTGGAATTCTAGCTATTCTTGTCGGGGAGATGAAGGCTGAATTGTGGAATTCACTGTAACACAGATTCTGAAAGAGGTTTGCCAAAAAATTAAGGATGACTGGATAAAAGTGGTTTTACATTGAGCAATTCTGTGTGAAACGTTTACAACGGCGTCTAGCACAGACTTTTTATATAAATGTTAGTTGCCATTTACCATCATCATCATTACATTGAGATTCACCGTTTTAAAATACTCAAGTTTTTATTAGCCATATGTAGGTCTGTATAAGGCAATCTGCAGGATACCATGAGAAGAAACAGTCCTTGTTTGTAAGAAGTTTATAATGATACATCTTGAAGGCGAAAAGATAGAAAGTTAAATTGTTAAAGAAAAAAAATATTTAGTTTCTTTGAGGCAGTGTCTTTTGCTAGTTTAGCTGGAGTCCTGCATCAAAGGCTGAGAAAAGTTCATAGCTTGTTCTTTCCCAAACAAGTTAAAAACAGAGATCATTATTATTTAAAATAAAACAGAAATTATAGTAGTAATTTATTGCTTTTCAACAATTCTGGTGTCATAAATCTAACTGAACCAAACTCCACATATATCTTGAATACAAGAATCAAAATTCTCAGGAAAGTGAGGCACTTTCATATAGTGAGTCTACAGCACAGTCCTTTTTCTTTTTTTTCTGATAAGGGTAGAATACCAAGATGAAAAGACCAGGAAAAGATTGCCTAGAGACCTAGATACACGGGACTGTCCTTAGCTTTCATGTATGTATACCTCCATTTCTGAACACGTTCATTTTTGGATCATCTTCCAGTCTATGAAAAGAAAGGGAAGTGGGATAAAAGGAACTGTACTACACTACACTGGATAACCAAAAGGTGGCAGATGTTCTTCAGTCAAACATGTCTTGCTATCTCTCTGAAAAGGAGTAGGCAAAAATCTTTTTGAAAAGAAAGCTTGGGTTGGCTCAGTGGCTCAGTCAGTTAAACATCCCACTCTTTTTTTTTTTTAAGTTTATTTATTTTGAGGTGGGGGAGGGGCAGAGAGAGGAGGAGGGAGACAGAATCCCAAGCAGGGTCCACACTGTCAGCACAGAGCCCCAAGTGTCCAACTCCCGATTTCGGCTCAGGTCAAGATCTCACCTGATTTGTGAGATTGAGTCCCATGTCAGGCTCTGCAATGACAGCAAGGAGCCGCCTTGGGATTCTCTCTCTCCCTCACCCTTTGCCCCTCCCACGGGTATGCTCTCTCTCTCTCTCTCTCTCTCAAAATAAATAAATAAACTTTAGGGGGGGAAAAAAGCGCCTTAATTTCTAGTAGAGATTGTCCTGGAAAGGTTAACTTTCCAAACTGACAGGAAATCATACCAAACACTAACACATAATTTAAATTTCTCTTCAACATACAAGAGAAAAATCTATCCTTGATTTTTCTATTAGGCCTTTCATACCTAGCTTAAAATACACCCTGTTCTTCACTCACCCTAGCTTTCCCTCTTCAGGTGAAAATTAAGGAGAAATTTTATTTGCTTTGCTAACTCGAAGAAAAGTTTTCTACATGGAGAATGTTTAATTTAGATCACAACATGTTTATATGGCTATCTGATATTGTTAAGGTAATTTCTGAATTCTGAAGCTTTTGCATTCTTAATAGTGGATAACTCATTAGGGATTTAGAATACATGAATTTTACTCCCTTTTTATTTATTCTTTATTTTAAAGAGAGAGAGAGAGAGGAGAGAGAACATGAGCAGGGTAGGGGCAGAGGGAGACAGAGAATCCCAAGCAGGCTCTACATTCAGCATGGAGCCTGATGTGGGGCTTGCTCCCACGATCCTGGGATCAAGACCTGAGCCAAAATCAAGAGTCTGATGCTCAATTGACTAAGCCACCCAGGTTTCCCGGAATACCTGAATTTTTAAAATACAAAGACTGCATACAAGTTTGCCTGAGGTCTGTAATACTTCAGGGATCCACTAAGAGCCCTTCCTTCCCATCCATGGGTTGGTAAGACTTGTGAATATGTAATGTTAAAAAATAATTAAAAGAGATCTAGGTCTTCCCTGGGAGATACAGCAAGACATGGAATTTAATTGTCAAGCCAATGCTTTTCCCAAAATAATCATGTGCCCCCATAAAGGAAATAGGAAATGAAACATTTAATTTGGATTTGGAGGTGGCCTTCCTAAGCAATTTGCTCAAGTACAAACAATAATTACGTAGAAAGAACCTGATTATAAATATAATTATGAAACCTGATTAATTCACAATCAGTGGGGAAGCTAAACTGCATTACAAGGAGGTTTGAATTATATAATAGAATTACTAAAGTTACTCCCTTGTTGATCTATCTGCCTCTCCTTTATTTCCATGTTGTCCTGTACACAACTTACCAGGTAGGAGAAAGTGTCTTCTATGAAGAAACAGTGTACAAAAGATAGAAGGCTCAGGGTTGAGACTTTAAAACAACCCTGCGTTTTCTGCCTCCTATTATCCACCTCATCACTACCCTTCTATTCTTCTCTGACCTCAGGATTTTGAACAAAATAAAATGAAAATAGCCTAGTATTTAACACAGGCTAAGTAAAATAGACCTAGGTTTAAATCTCAGCTTAATAGGGGCGCCTAGGTGGCTCAGTTGGTTAAGTGTCCAACTCTTGTTTTCAGGCTCAGGTCGTGACTTCACTGATGGCAGAGCCTGCTTGGGAGTCTCTCTCTCTCTTTCTCTGGACCTTCCCCACTCTCTCTCTCTCTCTCAAAATAAATAAACGTTAAAAAAAAATCTCAGCTTTTCTTTAGTATATGTGCTACCAAAGTGAGCACAATCTCAGCTTTATAGTACTTGCCAGGTAAAAAAAACCTTAGTGATGTTATCTGTAAATTTGGGGAGATGGGATGGGATTTCCCTAGATTCTTGGCAGAAAAACCTGTTTAGGTTTAGGTGCGTGGCTGCAGTGATGAAGAGTTCTCCCCAATGACTCTTGGAGTCCATCTGTCTCTCATTCCACTGGATTCCATAAGTGAGCTATGTTGCCGACATAGTCTGAATCATGTACTCCCATGTTATGGTTGAAGCACGTCTGGGCTGTTTCATGCATGATGTGGTCACACCTGCATTGGTCAAAAGAATGACTAGTGAACCATAGGAGATATACAAGATGGGAGTTAGGGGGCTCCCAGATTAACTTCATCTTTTCATTGCAAACAGAAGCAAAACCCTATTACCAGCCTGTCTGGGCCTAATGGAATATGAGACAAAGGCCGTATGCAGTCTTCTACTTAGATGTCTACACCTGATGAGTCTTACCTGTTGCAATTTATGTCTTTGTGCCTCTTGTTAACTTCCTGCAGCATTTAACTTTTCTAGATTCTTGTTCCCACTGATGTGGCTATGGTGAGTATACAAACAATAAGGTGTGTGTGCATGGTGGGGACAAGAGACTGGTGAAAACAATGGCTGAAGCAGAAATGGTGTATTCTTTTGTTTTTTTTTTTTAATGTTTATTTATTTTTCAGAGAGAGAAAGCATGAGCAGGGGAGGGGCAAAGAGAGAGGGAGACACAGAATCCAAAGCAGGCTCCAGGCTCTGAGCTGTCAGCATAGAGCCCAACACAGGGCTTGGGCCCACGAACTGTGAGATCATGACCTGAGCCGAAAGTCAAGATGCTTAACTGACTGAGCCACCCAGGTGGCCCCAGAATGGTGTATTCTGAGCTTGATGAGAGTTACTATACTTCTGGCCCTGAGGTACTGAGCAGGCCAGCAGTCCTCGAAGTTGGTAGCATAGTACAAAGGGTATTCCTCTACTACAAGATTTTCCAGTTTCTTTCTTGCTACTAGATTAGAGGTGATAAATAGTCAGAGGTATATATACACACCTAGAAGACTTAAAGAGGGCTCTACCAAAACAGGATAAAATTAAAGCCCTCAGTGTGAGACTATGAGTTTGAAGACACTAGAGAGAATTGTCTATAAGCAGGTAGCTTGGCATCTGAGGCTGAAGGCTGTCCACCGTCAAGAGTATAGTGGGCCATTTCAGTCACTGTAGCCATGATCAAAATGGAACCATGGCCTGAGATGAGAGAAAATTGTGGAAGAAGTTGTCAGGAAATCCACTGGGTCTCTTAAACTTGAATCTTGACCTGTCAAAGGTGACAACAAAAGGAGAATCTCCACATAGGGAGGAGACTGCCAAATCTTGTTACTAAGACTCTTGTTCTGACTTAAACTTTTCCTTGGGGAAACTTTCATAAATTATCACTGACACCACGAGGAAGACTGGGGGTTGGGAGTATTCCCTTTTCTTTCGTTCTTTCTTTCTTTCTTTCTTTCTTTCTTTCTTTCTTTCTTTCTTTTTTTAAGACATAGAGTGTGAGCAGGGAGAGGGGCAGGGGGGACACAGAGAGAGAATCCCAAGCAGGCTCCATGCTGAGCCTCAATCCCACAACTCCTAGGATCATGACCCAAGCTGAAGTCAAGTGCTCAACCGAGTGAACCACCCAGGCACTCCTTACCTGCTTCTTAAATAGCTCAGCAGAGCTCAAGCTGGAACACACTAGCTGCTGTAATATGTGTTTGGCCTCCTCCCTACTGCCTGCCCATTCCTCATTTTCAACCCTCCACACAATTTCCTATCACTATTGTTTTCCCCTTCATACTGATTAAAAATAAAGTATTAGGAGTTTAAAAAACTCTATTTTCTTCTGCATTATTGAACAATGTATGATGTAAAAATGTCCAGTAAACTTGTACTGTGATTAGTATTATTTAGGGAAGGGCTTCATGAAGCACATTTGAAACATCTGAACTTTGAGGCCTAGATGGGTATGGTCACTTTCACCATGCTGCTCACCACTCCTTATACTGGGCTTGGTTACCTTTTCCTAGTCCTTGAAGGCTTTTCAATTTTCAATCGGTGATTTAGATTAAACTTGGCTAAAATTCAGGGATAAGGTAGAGTGATGCATCAATCAACAGACTTACAAAACATGAGTACTTACCTTCCCTTTTGGGTATCCACAGAAGCCTGTCAGCCTGGCTCCTACTAGGCAGCTCTGTGGCACAGGCCATTTCCCTTATGTAAGTGGGGAGGGCCCTCAACATTTTCTAACTCCTCTAAGTTCAAACCCTGAAAAGGTAAATCCACCAGTGCCACCTTCTATCTGTTCTATGTTCCAAGTTTTTCCTGTATGAGGACCTTCTTCTTCTTTGAATGACTGATAATAAGAATGTCTTATTTAAGGAAACTCTGCACCCTACCCAAAGGTAGATATACCTACCAAAGAGGTATAACTTCACTCTATGGCCGTAAAAATAATCCTACCAAAGCACAGCAGGCATAACATCTGAACTCATGGTTTGTGCAAAATGTAAGGTGGTGGGGGGAGGGAGGAGGCTTCACTCTATTAATACACAGCTCAGAAGTGAGGTTGGTAGCCCCTGGACCTCACTTGGGCACAGGTGTCATAGATATTGTGTGGCACGGGGCACTGTGGCAGATTCACAGTTCTCAGAGGTCACCACAGATTAAGCTCATGCTTTATTTAAGCCTCATCTCATTCACCAGTGCAGCAGCATCAAGGTCCAGTTAGAACACCCAGGTCTGGCTACCCAGGCAGGTGGATACATAAAGCTAATCATTATGATCTAAGAGGTCTCCTTCATTGCATGCACCCCTCTTCTAATTCACATCAAGCTTGAGGTGCAGCGGTTCAGAATTTCCAACTGCCTGCTGCTGCTGTTGGGTAAGAGCCATAAGATCCAAGTTCTCACAATGAAAGATCTTACAGCATGGAATATAGGCGCCAGGACACCCAGAACTTCCTGGAATACAGGTATTCTTAAAATTAAGCTTTAAAAAATATGTCCCAATGTCTCCACCCCCAACTTACTGCCTAGAGGCTCACAACTATCCCAAATTCAGATAATCAGGGAGTAGTTTCCTGCAGTGCACTTTCTGGTTTCAAAGGCAGATTTTGTGGCCAACAGCTTTTATAAGGATTGTTTAGCCCTGTGATGGGTAGAAGGAAACTAGAACAGGATCTTCCTAAATCAAGAGGTCTTCAAACTCTAGGGATTAGTTTCCTATGGTATTAATAGTTATTTATAACCATTTCTGCTCCTGTATTTTTGGTGAAAACTAAATGAATACTTCCTGATGATTCCAGAAAATATTATATGCCTTTAAGCAAGTTAACTTCTTGTATCTGTATCTGTCTGTAAAATGGGGATTATAACAGTACCTAGTTCATAGTATTTTTATGAACAGTAAATGAATTACTATATGAAGTGCTAAGATCAATGCCTGGCATATAGTAAGCACTCCCTAATTATAACACCAATTTATTATTATTATTATTATTATTATTATTATTATTATTATATTTCCAATCCCTACCCCATCTGCCTAGAATACTAAAGACAGGAAGAAAGGGAGGGAAGGAAGGAGAGAGAAAGGTAAAAGGAAGGAAGAAGCCCAGGGTTAGCCAGGATCAAGGAGGTAGACAGGTTTGGCAAATATGGAGGGCCATGCCTAGAAGGAATGCTTACTAGGAAAGATCCTAAACAATGATATAGATTAGAAAGAGCATAGACCAAAACTGTCTCTGTGCTGGCAGAGAGAAGCAGCAGGAGACAAGCTGTATCAAACCACGAATGGAGTAAGGGTATAGGAACTGGACTGCCACATACAAACAGAGCCTCAGGCAATTTGGTTGAAAGCAAATTTCAAATTTCATTTTCTATATTCTGTTTTGAGTTATCATAAATTATAAATGGGGAATTTTTCTTAATCAATTAAGTATTGTTGTGTTTATAATAAAAAACTCTTTCCTGCTTTGTTTGGTGCTAGTGAAATGTGAGTAACAGCATCTTCCTATTTCCTAACACAGACAAATGATGGAATAATTAAGGGGAATGTAAGTGTAGTATTTTAATTCCAGAAAAAATAAATTATAATTTTATTATTTTCCTTTTTAGATAAAGCAACTGGATAACTTACTCAGCTTAAATAGTAACTGTTACACATTTTCAAATTTTTTGCATTTCTCATCCCATTACAAATTTCTGGTTATAACTCTTACCTTAAAATCTTCAGAAGTTTTGCTCACTTAACAAGCTTGCCAACAGCAGATTACCCATGCATCATCCAGTCTATCAGCCTCTAAAACAGGAAGGTGAATCTGAAGAATTTCATGATAAAACCAAAAGCCACTAGAGAATATCATGCCTTCTCTGATTTTGATGTAATGATTCTGAAAGACCCCACCGTGAAATGCTTTTTATCTTAAAGATTACTTGGTACATGCCATTTATTATATGAGTGACCTTAGAAAAATCTTTTAGCTCTCTGGACCTTAATTTCCATTTCCGTAAAATGTGGTGGGTTGTGTCAGATGATCTTCAACCTCCTCTCGGCTCTAAATTTCTGATCCTGCAACTACTACAATTTTATTTCTTCGATGTCTCATGGATTAATCAGGAAGAAACTTGGCAGAAAAACATTTTACCTGTATTATTTCATCAGTTTTGCCAGCTCACCCACCCTGTTTCTACTTTTTCAGCTAAGAACCTTTTCCTTGCTTTTGATCTTTCCCTCTTATGCACTTTATGAACAAATTATAATGTTAATCATAAACACTTGTGGAGTGCTTTCCAAGTTTTACCAACCCCTTCTGCATATACTCTTACTTGATTATCACAATAGCTTGGGCTGATAGATATTATCTCCAATTTACCTGGCCCAGAAGAGTTCAATGGTTCAATGAATTAACTGTCCAGAGTAACACCAATAGTAAATTATGGGAACAAACCTTCTGATCCCAAAGTATGTACTCTTCACAACACTACAGTTTCTACTAGGGACAGATCCAGATTTTGTGGAGCATGCAGCATACACAATTTTGGTGGACATTTTCAAGAAAAGGAATACAAAATTACAATAGAACACTAATATAATCCTGTGAACACATTGTTAGGGCCCCTGTCAGGTCCTGGAAGGGGTCTATTCAAGTGAAGTGCCTTTAGGATTAATCTTTAGGGCTCGGTTTCACGGGTTTCCATGGTTATACAATTATTTAGTGCTTACTTTCTGCCAAACACTTAAGTAAATAGTATTTTTATTATAACAACCCTAGGAGGTAGGTACTATCCTTGTTTTACAAAGCAGACAATGAGGCTTAGAGAGTAAAATAATTTGCCTAAGGATCTAGAGCTTATAAGTGCCAAGTATCAAAATTGAAACTGTGGAGATCTGGCTTCTGGGTTGATAATATAAACCCATCCCACCCTATATAAGTCTTCTTTTCGGGTTTCCTAGAATCATCTTAATCTACTGCTTCCCACTCCATTCTATAGTTCGGGCCCTGATAAGCTCATGTCCGAACCAGTCCCATGCTGTCTCCTTAACTCAATTCTCCTACCGTCTACCATGAATGCTGCTACCACCCTAACAATCCTAAAGCACTACTGTTCTAAGTCCTAGACACCCCCATGGCCTAAAGTGCCTTCCTTCTCAGCATCTATCAAAGGTGAGAAGCAATTAATTACTGCTCATACACAGTACTTGGCCATAGATTCCATACCGTCTTCTAAGGTGTTGAACTATTACTGAAAACTTTTCGTTGTGTGAAACAGAAGCAGAGTGGGTAAGGGGAAAGCACAATCACCTCTCAGAACCGGACCCTTCAATCCCCACTCTTCAATCTCAGTTCTTCACTTGTAAAACAAAACCTTAGAGCCAATCTCACAGGGTTTTTGTGAGAATCAAGGGTGGGAGGAGGAAGGAAGGACTCGGTTGGGGGAAAGAGCAAATGGTCATCAAATGCTGGCTGATTTCTTCTGCCTGAATGGGAGATTGCCCGTAAAATTTTGTAAACTCTCTGAAGGCAGGGGCCTTCATACATTTTTGGTATTTCCTGAAGGCCAACTTCAGAGACACCTCATAATTATTCAATCTGATCACTTAAACAGAACCACTTCCCCTGTCAGGACTTGCTCAAGAAACTACAATGGCTCTTAGGACAAAATCTGGCTCTGGAGTCTGACTGTAGGTGTTGGCCACTTACTCTGTGACCTCTGGAAGGTTACTTAACCTCTCTTGAGCCTTAGGTCCCTTATTTGTAAAATGTTAATAATAGTTACCGACCTCATAAGATTATGAGGATAATTCAGGTGAACTGCTAAGTATATAATCGGTTCCTCAAAACTGCTAGCTCTGATTATGTCCTGTCCCGAACATTCGGTGTCCATAGAAATTTGGCTTTTGCATTCCCTTGTCTCCCCGTTTCTGGCATACACACCTTCCCCCTAGAGACGGCGGTCGCCACCCTCTGAGCCACTCTTCTTTCCCGGTTCCTGTGTTTAACCACCACCATCCACCAAATACCACAGGGCAGGCTCTGTATTAAGAAAGTTCCATAAATTCGTCAAAACCACCAAAAGCGCCTATGAGGTCGGATCTACTACTGTTAGCCATTTTAGAGAACAGGAAACAGGCCCTGAGGGTTTGGGTGACTTCTCCGAGTTCACCCAACTCTGCGGAGGCCACAGCCCGCGCTCGCACCGCCCGCCCCTCGGCCTCTTCCCGGGCCCGAGGTGCACCCGCATCCATTCACACCCCGCCCAGCCCCTCCTCTTCCAGCAGCTTCCCGGCTCCCCCGCGCGCCCGCCCGTGGCCCCCCACACCTGAGTCAGGACCCCGGGGGTACGCCCCATCCGTCCTTCGCGGCTTTTCCCTTTTCTCTGCCAGAGACTGAGGGGTAGGCCGGCGCCGGCGTCCAGCACGCGTGTAAGTCACCGCGAGCTCCTTGGACTGAGGACCTGAGGGGCGAGCTCCGCAGAGGAGCGCTGCGGCTCCGTCCGCGCCGCGTAGCGGGGGTGCAAATCGCGGGTCGTGCTGAGCCGCCGGTCACGTGGCGGGGAGGGGGCGCCGGCGCGCGCGGGCGGGCGGGCGCGCGCGCCTGCGAGCGTGTGGAGGCGCGAGTCGCGGTTCGGGCGTATGTATAGGGGGGAGGGGGCGGCGGCCGGGAGGGCCGACTCCGCCCCCTGTGCGCATGCTCCGGTCCCGGCGGGTTATAAGGCAGCCCCGCCAAGGGCCCGGCCCCACAAAGTGCTGGCGAGCTGCGACGTGACCAACCGGCCGCGTGGGTTCCCAAACGAGCGAACGAGGCAGCTGGTGAAGGACGCGACCTGGACCCTGGGCCCTGCGGAACTCCAGCCGCGTCACGCACACGCTCGGCGCCGCGAGCCGCGCATAACGGTTAGTTGAGTAACGGCCGGCGGCGGCGCTCGGCGCGGACCCCGCGGTGCCCCTGCTGCTCTCGCGGGTGGGAGGGAGCCTCGGGAGCCAGGGGGTGGGGGGCATGCAGACTTGAGTCTCGGGGGAGGGGGGCGGCCCGGCAGGGGCATCGTGGCCGCGGGCCGCCGCGTGGTCCCGGAGCGCGGCTTTGGTGAAGGAGACCTTGAGGCGGTGGGGACAGCGCCTCGCCCCGCTGAGCTGCGGCCCCCCGGTCAGGTGCCGGCTACCGGCCTGGCCGAGGAGTTGGGTCTTGGTGCCGGTGACCTTGGGAAAGTCGCTCTTCCCCAGCCTTCAGGAGTCTTCTCAAGAGATGCTTTTGATTTGGAAAAGGGACGACGTGGGGCTGATTCACGTGGTGCCTCCCGGCTCTCCTGGCCGCGTTCTGATCCGAGGGAAGGGACTCGGGGCGGGAGTTATTTTGGACTCGTGGCATGCCCGCCCCAACCTTCTGGGCCAGCCAATCCTTGCCCCACCTGGTGACTTGCGAGGGTGGTTTGGGGAGCCGCAGTCCCTGCAGCTAAGGCGTGACTGCAGGGTTCGCGTGGACTTTGCGGAGGGAACAGTGCAGCTGGCCGGCCCCGGGACTGGTGCTGACGGAGGCTCTTTGTCATTCAACCTGTGGCTGCGGAACGTCAGCTGTAGCGCCCTCGCGCTCCTGGGCTTGAAGGTGGCCCTGTTGAGAGCAGTCTGAAGGATAGCGTTACACTTGGTCAGATGCACTCGGTTTGTTCCAAGTACATCCTTTTTTCCCCACGTGCATTTTAACATTTCATTTCCTTGCCATGACTTATTTGGTGTGACACGCAGTTGCCAAAACTACTTTGAAATTATTTTCAACCAAGAAACAAACGGATTTCTACTTGACTGGAGTTTCCATCGTTTGCTTACAACCTAGGCGTCTACGGATAACAGTAGAATGTTTACAGAGCTTACCATAGCTAGTTTTTTTTTTTTTCAAAAGTTATTCCGGTTTCGAAATAAAATGCGTACACGTCAGTGCCCTAATGAAACAAACGTGGATTTAGTAACTACTGGAATGTCGTGATAGGGTGAACTCTGAATTGTGTGAGAGTTTGGAAGAGTATGACCAGGAATTAGGCATTAATAAACAACTTCAATGTCAGTTACCAGACCTATGAGTGAATTAAACTATGAATCTTCAGCTTTTTAGTTTGGCATTAAATTGTACCCATAAATCCAAGTCTTATGCCCTGAAGTACAACTTTGCCTTCAAACTGCCATGGAAAATATCAGGAATTCAAGACATCTAGCGTTTAATATAGGTAATGGGTAAGTATTATTTAAAAGTGTAACATACTTGGGGCGCCTGGGTGGCGCAGTCGGTTAAGCGTCCGACTTCAGCCAGGTCACGATCTCGCGGTCCGTGAGTTCGAGCCCCGCGTCAGGCTCTGGGCTGATGGCTCGGGGCCTGGAGCCTGTTTCCGATTCTGTGTCTCCCTCTCTCTCTGCCCCTCCCCCGTTCATGCTCTGTCTCTCTCTGTCCCAAAAATAAATAAAAACTTTGAAAAAGTGTAACATACTTGAGTAATTCAGGGTTTAGATAAATGCTGTTCTTTAATCATACTACAGTGACTCTTGTTAAATATGTAAGTTAATGGTGTGGAGAGCGTTTTGTGAGATTTTTATAGCCGAGTAGGTTTAAAGGTAACATAACAGGTTATAACATCCCTAAGCAGATAAAAAAAGGGGTAAAAGGTCATAGGATGAAACCAGTTGATAATGTTTCAATAGTTTACATGTGTTTTCATCTTTTAAATATTAATGCATATATTAGCCCTGGAAAAGATCTTAATCACTACCTAGTGAGATTCTCTTATTTTACACATCAGGAAACTGAGGTTGGAGAAGTTAAGTGACTTAACATTCTAGGTCTGAAAACTTGTTAATACTTGGGTGGGAATTAATGTGTCTTTTGACTCTCATTTAATCAGATTGGCACTCTTGAGCTTTCTGTAAAATTGTTAATGTGGATATAAATTATACTAAAATTATTTTGAGTAATTTTTTCCCAATTTATGTTCTTCATTCCCATTGTTTTCAGTCTACTTTATAGTACATTCCTTTGTAGGATTTAGGTCCTGTAAATGCCTACATGGCCAGTCTTTTTTTATTGCAGATGAAGACTTGGAAGATGGAACTTAGTTATAAGAAAAATAGACCAGAAAGTTATAAATATTTATGTATTCAGCAATTTGGTACTAGCTACTAGGCACTAGGAAAGACTTAGGATTCAGCAGTGAACAAGTTCAGCCCTATCCCTTCTGGAGTTTGTAGTTTAACTGAAGAGCAGATAGATAGGTAAAGGTGATTACCACAAGTATTGAGTGTCCTGGTAGAGGAAGTGCAGTTCCCAAAGAACCAAATAGTGTATTCTGGAGATATGAGAAGACACCCAACTTAGTATAGAAGCGATCTGGGTAGGCCTCACTGAAGAAATGGTACTTAGCTTTTTAGACTTGAAGGTTAGGAGCTAACTGAGCCAGGAAGTGATGGTGGAAAGAGCATTCCGGACATGAATACTGAAACTTCAGTCAGAGTACAGGGTACATTGGAAAAACTGCAAGAATTTAATCAAAGCTAAAGCATAGAGGGAGAAGGGAGATTAAGGAGAGATGAAAGTTGGAGAGGTAGGTAATCTCAGATAATGGCCTTATAAGTTATTTTAAGGAATTAGGGAAGGGACTACGTCAAAAATTTAAGGAAGCACTCTTGCCTTGGAGGCAGTCTAAAGCAGTTTAAGGGTTTTAAGTGGGACTGGGAATGACCTGATCACATTTTTCATTTTAGGAGCATCATTCCGTATATAATGTGGGGAATAGGCTGATGGGGAGGCTGTTGGAATGTGCGAGACCACGGTGATAGGCAGTAGTGGGAGGATGGAAGAGAGAGGGAACACACAGGATTCTGTGGCAGACCAGATGGGAGAGACTGGGACATCCAGAAGAGTTAACAATGTCTCTTAGGTTTCTAGCTTGACCAAATATGATTTTACAGATTTATTAGGTGGTATTTATCTCCCTTTAATCAATGGGGACATTTAAGACATGTGACTAGCCCAGGGCTGCTCAGGTTTGAGTGTTGGAAACAAAACAAATCCATTCCTGTCTTTTTAGTTCCCTTGGTGTTATTGATAGTGATTTTTTTTCTTAATCCCTTTTAATTTTTTTTTTTTTTAGTATTTTTTAAATTTATTTTTGAGAGAGAGACAGTGCGAGCCAGGGAGGGGCAGAGAGAGGGAGACAAACAATCCGAAACAGACTCCAGGCTCCAAGCCGTCAGCACAGAGCCCGACGCGAGGCTCGAACTCACAAACCGCGAGATCGTGACCTGAGCTGAAGTCGGACGCCCAACCATCTGAGCCACCCAGGCGCCCCACTTACTTATTCCCTTCTAAACAATTTATTATTGAAAATTTCATACACAATTGAGAGCCAGTACTGTTTCATCTATACCCTTTACCGCTCCCCTACAGCTGCTACTGGGTTACTGTGAAGCAAATTCTAGATATACAATTATTTCATTTGTAAATATTTCAGTATGTCTCTAAAAAACATGACTCCAAAATATCATAACCGCATACCATTATCTTTTTTTTTTTTTTTAATTTTTTTTTTTCAACGTTTATTTATTTTTGGGACAGAGAGAGACAGAGCATGAACGGGGGAGGGGCAGAGAGAGAGGGAGACACAGAATCGGAAACAGGCTCCAGGCTCCGAGCCATCAGCCCAGAGCCCGACGCGGGGCTCGAACTCACGGACCGCGAGATCGTGACCTGGCTGAAGTCGGACGCTTAACCGACTGGGCCACCCAGGCGCCCCCGCATACCATTATCTTACCTGTAAAAATGAACATCATCAAATAAGCAGAAAATTCAAATTTTCCTAAGTTTTTTTCCCCCCCTTTCTAAAGTAAGCTCTATACCCAACATGGGGCTTGAACTCATAACCTCGAGATCAAGAGTCCCATGCTCTATGGACTGAGCCAGCCAGGTGTCCCCCTAAATTGTTTGAAATAACTAGGTTGCTTGGTTTGGGATCCAAACACAATCACACATTACATTTGGTTGGTATGTATTTTAACCTGCAGTTCCCCCCCTCCCTTCTCATTTTCCTCATAATTTATTTGCTGAAGGAACCAGGTTATTTTTCTTAAAGTTTCCCTCATTCTGGATTTAGTTGAATCTGTCCCTCTGGAATAGTTTTAATATGTTCTAGTTCAACATGTCTCTTGATTCCCTGTATTTCCTGTAAATTGGTGGCTAGATTTAAGACTTTGAGCATGCTTAGATCTGTTTAGGTTTGATTTCTGAGAGTAGGGACAGTGTGGGGGAGAGGGCAAATATAATCCATAGATGATGATGTATATTTCCATCAGGAGGCCTATGTTTGGTTGCTGCTGACTCTGCTATATTAATGGCATGGTTCCATTTTTTTCATTAGTGGTTTGCAAATGCCCTCTAATTCTAACATTTCTTCTCAGTTGATCAACTGGAATACCTCTATAAAGAGAAGTAGGGCTTTCCCCCCCCACCCCCAGTTTTAGTGGGATATAATTGACATACATCATTGTATAAGTTTAAGGTGTACAGTATGATGGCTTGAATAACATATATTGTGAAGTCATTACCA